AGAAGATGGCCACTTATGAACGAGGAAGCCAGCCCTCACTGAATCAGCAGGCATGGACTTCCCAGCCTCTAGAACTGTGAGAAATATTTGTTGTTTAAGCCACCCAGTCTATGGTAGTTTGTTATAGCAGCCTGAATGGACTAAGACAGAGAGATAGAGATAGAGATAGAGATAGAGATAGAGATAGAGATAGAGATAGAGATTTAATTTTCAAAATTGAGCTATCAGTTGTTAAAGTGTGAGTACATTTTTTGGGGAACACTGAGCATACACATCAGCATATTGTTGCACAACAAACAAAACTCAAGCTCTAAAATATGTTTATTGTTCATGCGTCTGTGTATGGGCTGGGGACCTGGGGATCTTGGCTGCTTTTGCTTGTGTGTCTGTGGTGAGCTGGACCCTCTTCTAGGGTGTGCTTGGCTACCTCAGCTTTGCTCCATGCATTTCTCGTTCTGTTCTCAGGACCATCAAGTTAGCCTTGACATGTTCTTAGGAGTTAGTTGAGGCAAAAGTGTGACAGGGAGTTCAGACGAGTAAGTGCATTTCAAGGTTCTGCTTGTATCACACCGCAAACGTCCCAGTTCTTGAAAGAAGAATTTTGAAGCCACGTGGAAAAGAGCAAGGTGAAGAATTTGGGCCATGAAAGCAATCTGATGGATTTGCAAGGAAGCAGAGGTTGAAGAGAAAGAGGAGGTAATTGGTAGCACAAGTCCTGGAGGGGAGGAGAGATTGGCATCTTTAGGGGAAGCATCACCCTCCCTTTTCAATAGGAGGGAAGGAGGGACTGCTGTGGATGTGGGATGTTGGCGGGGCTATTGGGGAAACTTGAGGGAGTTTCCTTCTTGTGTTTCTGTTCCCTCTGTGAAGGAAGAGGTGCGTCATCTCCTGGGAAAGGGGTTTGCTGTGCAGCAGGGGACCTAAGAGTGGGAAAGTTTTAAATTTCCCCCATGGGGATTGAGAGTCGACTGTAAACACAGCAGTGTTGTTGGGCCTGGTTGAAAATCCAGTCGAGCTTGGTGACCATGGATTTCTACCCCATACACTCTCAGCAGAGATGCCACTGGGTATCCAAAGTGGTACCAGGAACCGAGAATGTGGTGGTACCAGGGGTCATCTTTGACTTTTCTCTTTCTGTTAGATGGCTCAGCCAAACAATCACTGAGGCCTGTCCATTCACTTCTAAAGGAGCGTTGTGAGTCAACCTCTTCTCTCCATTCTCCTGCTCTCCCAGGGACCTGGCCACTGTCTTCCGTCCATTGCATGCCCATCACAGCCTCTCAGTGAGCTCCCCTCAGCATCAGTAAGGGATGGGGACAGTGTGGAGGGAGCCACACCTGGCAGCCAGCCAAGAGTCATCATCCTTACCTTGTGTCTTGTCAAGTGGCCCTACGCTAGATCTCCCCTTTATAAAATAAACTTTGATTTTAGAATAGTTTAGACTTACAGAAAAACTGCAAAAATTATACAGAGAGTTCCTGTTTATCCTGTACCTGGTTTCCCCTGTTCTTAGGATCTGGAATTAGTATGATACATTTGACACAATGAATGAATAAATCTTGATGCATTTTTATTATTCACTCGTTTATTCTTTATTCCAAGTTCCTCAGTGTTTTCCTAATATCCTTTGTTGTTGTTCCAGGATCCCATGTGGGACTCCATATCACATTTAATTGTCACGTCCCCTTAGGCTCCTCTTGGCTATGAAGTTTCTCAGACTTTATGACTTTGACAGTTTAGGGAGTCCTTGTTAGGTAGTTTGTAGAATGTTCCTCAATTGGGATTTGTCTGATGTTTTCCTCATGATTAGACTGCAGTTATGGGTTTTGGGGAGGAGGACCACAGAGGAAAGTGCCATTCTCATTGCATCATATCAAGGGTGCTGTTAAAGACAAAAGATATTCAGTGATACTTGTTACAGATGGTAAGGCAGACCCTCGTCAGGATCAGCTTGATAGGTATAGGGACCACTGCATTGGGGTTTTTCCATGGGGTAGAGGCATGCGGCCTGTTGGCCGCGAGTTTGACATGCTTGAGGGATAGGCTTCCACTCCAAATACAACAAGGAAATGTGGTTCTTATAGCCCCCACCATAAGAAGCAAGGTGAAAGTCAGTAGATGGAAAATTCAGAGGAAACATCAGGGATAAGGGATAGTCTAGCTCCGTGGTCAGCAAACTGCGGCTTGCGAGCCACATGTGGCTCTTTGGCCCCTTGAGTGTGGCTCTTCCTAAGCCTTAGGGCAGTGATGGCGAATCTATGACACGCGTGTCAGAGGTGACACATGAACTCATTTTTTTTTGGTTGATTTTTCTTTGTTAAATGGCATTTAAATATATAAAATAAATATCAAAAATATAAATCTCTGTTTTACTATGGTTGCAAATATCAAAAAATTTCTATATGTGACACGGCACCAGAGTTAAGTTAGGGTTTTCAAAATGCAGACACGCCAAGCTCAAAAAGTTCGCCATCACTGGCCTAGGAGAAGGTTCAGGAACCTGACTAAAGTTCCGTCAAGCAGACTCTTTGTGAGTACTTGCTATCAATGTGATTTTTCAACAACAGGTTGATGTTGATCTTGGTCACCTGGCTGAGGTTGTGTCTGCCAGGTTTCTCTATTGAGAAGTTCTCTCCCCTCCCACCTTTCCATGTTCTACTCTCTGGAGGGAACCCACAAGTTAAGGGGTGCATTGCTGTGCTCCACCTCCTTGAGAGTGGAGCGCCTGCATAAATTATTTGGAACTTTTCTGCCCAGAAACTTGTTTATTGTATCAGGCACTTTTTATACAACACATTATCTCTTATAATTTTCACAATTGTGAGATTGATATTATCTCTTATTTTCCAGATGTAGAAACAGGGACTCAGTGAAGTTGATTCCCCTTCCCAGGGTCACTCAGATTTTAAGTGGTGGGCTGGGGACTTGAACTTGAGTGTTCTCAGAGCCAACTCTCTCAAGTGCTAAAGTCTCTACACTGTTGTTAAATCACCCCACTAAAGGTATTTCACATGGACTTATTCCTTGGGTCAGCTGTGTCTTTCTCTTAGGCAAGGTAAGCATCATTGGGGGAAAGGTGTTCTTGGGGTCTGCATGGTGAGTCCACCCTTTGAAAGGGCTTTCTCTGAGGACTTGAGGGAATCCTATAGATCCTATTCTAAGTTGGACTAGGCTCAAACTAGATTTCAATATGGTACAAGTTTGGGTTTTGTTATGCAAGGAAGGCTGTGTTCTGTCTATTTTTCTCTCTGAAAAAGGGAAGCTCCCTTTGGTTAATCGGCATGGTTTTTAAGAAAAATATTGATATCGACACATTCTTAGAGGCATCGGGTCCACCCTGATCTCATTGAATGAGGTCATCTGTGTGCTAAGAGGTACTATTCTGCTACTCTGGGAAAGTCAGTGGGGAGCCAGGAGTGATTTCACGGGTTGTTGAAAGCTTACGCTTGTAGTCAGAATGAGTTGGCCCTGTGTTGGTTTTTCTGAGCTCAACATAATATGCAGAACAGATCTGTATAATGGGCTGTTTGCTTTGTGGATTTTCAATTTTCCTCTCTCTGCCTGTTCAAAGTATTTAGAATATGTCAGGGCAAAGGGCATCATGCTGAAAATTGTGACAGACACGCTCTTTCACGGCTTTAAAGAAATGGCTTGAAACAAATTGCAGTTGGTTTCACTAGGGCCCTGGCTAAATCTGACGGGCAGGTGCCGCAGAGCATTGAACTGGACAACAAACCTGAGACCAGAGGACCCTTTCCCCCCAGTTTAGAGCAATTAAGGTGCCCTGGGCACCTGCCTGCTGGCGTTACCCCCGCCCCTGGCACGGTGGAGGGCCAGGTGGCTGAAATGAGTCAAAAGGCATCAGATGCTGTGGGAACCTGTGAGTCACAGAGCCGGAGGGTGGCCTCCACCCGTTTCTGGCTTGTTAACCCACAACATGGTCATATTAGTCAGTGTTTCTCTCCCAGAAAAGCGACATGTTTCTCTTTTTAAATTTTGCAGTGAGTTCAGGAGATGGGCTGAGGTCAATGACGGGCAGACAACAGTGCTTCTAGAAGAGTCCGCAGTCTCATTTTGGTTGCTTGTTTGTTTTTAACTTGGAAGTTGATGAGAAGGATTTGATACTGCTTGGGCAGCAGCCCTGCAAGGAAGGAACCTGTCTTTGTGGCTCAGGGAGCCCTGTTTGAGGAAAGCTCCCACTCCATTTTGGTTTTCTGGGGCGGGGGGTGGGGGGGCCTGGAGACCCCTGGGAATACTGCTTTTTACATCACAATTTCCTTTTCCACTTCTACTTAAGAGGGTAAGAGTGTGCAGAAAATCAGGTCTCTTGGAAGTGCAAGACAATAAAGGGGAGAACTCTGTATTCTCAAATGAGTATTCTTACCTGCTTGGGTTTCTGGCTGAGGATCTTGGTAGCAACACTGGCTGTGTTCCCTGCATGCGTGTGTGTGTGTGTGTTCATGTGTGTTCATGTGCTTGTGTGTATGAAAGACAGGGACCGACACTTTTGAGCAGTAACAGAGGGTGGCAGTGTGCGCTGGCGTATCCTCCTGCTGCGAAGACGGCTTTCTCCTCCCTGAAGCCTGGGAGCCCTGGGAGGTGGCCCTGAGACGCACGTTTGGGTTTGCATCTGGGCACGGGTGTCTCCTGCTGGGAGCCGACAGCACCAGGACCTTCCCCTGACCAGCAGGGTCTGCTGAGGCAGCTCAGCACTTCTGCTCGCCACCCCGCAGCATCCTGGCTACTCACGTTCCTCCTTAACATGTGACAGGACAGCTGAGCTCCCAATGGATCGGCGAAGGGAACAAGAGTAAAGCAGCAGAGACAGCCACGTGTCCCTGTGAATTCTTTCTTGCTGTCTGAGGGGCAAACCCACACCCCGCAGACGGGCTGGCCTGGGAGGTAGACCAGGTGCCGTTCCTCTCTCTCTAGGAAGACCTCCCTGGAATGAGGGGTCTCCATGGCGTGCGGTCTCTTCACCTGTGCCCATCTCTTTGCAGGGCATGCCACCATCACCAACTACTTGTTGAACTACTTCCCTGGTCTTGACCTTGAAAGGAGGAACGTGTTTGGGTTCACAGCCCTGATGAAAGCGGCCATGCAGGGCCGAACAGAGTGCATCCGAGCCCTGATGCTAGCAGGTACGTCTCCACCGGTCCTGCGCGTATGTGCTGTAGGGATGAACCAGTCCCGTGGGAACAAGGGCTAACGGGTGCAACAAAGAACAGTTTCTGTGAGCTATATGGCTGTCATCATCCGAGTGAAACCAACAGAACAAAGGCAGCCACCTTCAGGGTGGGGCGGGAGGTCACGGCACTGGTCACCCGGTAGGACACCCCTCTTCGCTCACTTCTCTGGTCTTGGCTCTGAGCAGCAAGTCTGTCCTATTGGAGGTGGGTGCAGGGGTGGCAGGTCAGCCGTTGCCATCCTAGATCCCTGCTTGCTGGTGGTTGGAGCCCATGGTGGTGTGGTGTGTGGTGGCTGCCTCTTCTAGGAGTGGTCACAGAGTGGAAGGTCTGTGTGTAGCTCTGGATCAGCAGGGCACCCCCTTTGCTCTTTACAGTGCCGCCATCTTGGAGGAAGCACTTTCTTCTCTGAGCCTCCCTGTGTCCATCTGTGAAATGGGAACGGTGACTTCCTTCTCACCCCCCTGAAGATGAAATAGGAAAACACTCTGTAGATTCTCCTGGGCTACGCATGTTTAATGAACTATTCAGCTAACTTGCACGTGAGGAGTCTCTAGTTCTTTCCCCCACATCGTTAGCACCACCTCATTGGGTTATTTTGAGAATTAAATTAGAAAAAATGTGTGTAGAGCACACGCCCAGCGTCCGGCACAGGATGAGTCAGTCAGTATGAGATGCTGCTGTTGACGTTATTTAATTTCATTATTTTAACTTATTTTGTTTTTGGCCCTGGGCTTATCAGTCCTGCTTGGTGCTGTGGGTTCGCCAAGGTGGCGCTTCCCTGCCAATCTTCATAGCCGGAGGACAGCAGCCACGCTCTCTGAGCCGTCAGCCCAGGCTAGTCCTTCTGTCTAGACAACTTATTTTTAAGAAATAAACATTTATTTTGGAATCCTTTCAGATGTATGGAAAAGTGACAAAGGTAGGACAGAGAGTTCCCATACGGCCCTCACTCGTCTCCCACGTTAGCATCTTCCTGAGAGGCCGACATTGGCACATGACTATTCACCAAACTCCAGACTTGCTCAGATTTTACCAGTTCTTCCTCTCATGTCCCCTTTCCATTCCCGGGCCCCATCCAGCTCCCGCATTTAGTTGTCATGAGTCCCCATCCCCCCTGGTCATGACAGTTTCTTAGTCTTGCCTCCTTGTCCATGACTTGACCGTCTGCATACTGGCCACAAGGCAGTGCCTCCAGTCTGAGTCTGTCCTTGTGATTAGATGGGTTATAAGATCTGCAGCTTGATTCAGATTCTTCTTCCTCTTGCCTGAACCTGCGTGTTTCAGGGGCTGCCACGAGAAGAATAAACTCAGTAGATGAAGACAGAGGCTTCAAAGATGATAATGTTCTTGGAAATAAAAAAGATCAAACTTACAATGAATCCCATTGACTGTGCTTTGGGCTCAGTGACAGTTTCAAAAGTGAGACAAGTTTCAACAGAGTGTAGGCCCTGCCTGTCCCGTGCCAGGGAGAGACGCTACTTCTGGTTAAATGGCGGCCAAGTGCTTCATCTGCTTCTACTCTGGATCTAGTTATAACTTTGGGTAGATCGTTAGCAATTTTCTTTTTCAACCAAAAGTGTGTGGTGGTCAGTCACATCTGTGCATTCTTCCCAATGAATTTATTGGAACCACAAACCCTTTTGTTTATAGGTCAGTTGCCTGGGTGCCGCTGTTGTCCCACTCTCCTCCCCGCCTGGCGGAGGGTTCAGGCCTTGGCCACATGGTCACAGGATTACAGCAACGCCTTTCGGATCTCCTGAGCGATGGGTCTGCTTACAGGCAGCGTGCTCATCGCTGGTGCTGTTCTTTTCCCGCTCAGTGATGTGGATAACACATTTGGCATCGGTTTTTCTGTACTCTCCTTTTCCTGTTCCTCCTCTGTGAGCCCTGCCCCCTCAGTCTAGAGCAGTGGTTCTCAACCTGTGGGTCGCGACCCCTTTGGGGGTCGAATGACCCTTTCACAGGGGTCGCCTAAGACCATCGGAAAACACATATATAATTACATATTGTTTTTGTGATTAATCACTATGCTTTAATTATGTTCAATTTGTAACAATGAAAATACATCCTGCATATCAGATATTTACATTACGATTCATAACAGTAGCAAAATTACAGTTATGAAGTAGCAACAAAAATAATGTTATGGTTGGGGGTCACCACAACATGAGGAACTGTATTAAAGGGTCGCGGCATGAGGAAGGTTGAGAACCACTGCATCTTGAAACTTAACGTTTTTGCAGGATATTCCAGTGCAACTTTGGGCCCTTTCTAGTACAGATATTGGCAAGATCAAGTCAGTCACTTCTATTAAAATAACTATTGATAATACTTTGCCTCTACCTAATATTTACCAATATCCTTTAAGTCTTATATATCCTTTCACGGGGGTCGCCTAAGACCATCGGAAAACACATATATAATTACATATTGTTTTTGTGATTAATCACTATGCTTTAATTATGTTCAATTTGTAACAATGAAATTTGGGGTCACCACAACATGAGGAACTGTATTAAAGGGTCTCGGCATTAGGAAGGTTGAGAACCACTGGTCTAGAGTAATCCGCATGAGTACAGCCCTGAGGGTGTGCATTCCTGACCTGTATGTGGTCAGAGCAGAATGGTCAACAGAACATACTTAGAAGCCAGGACCCCTGGCTTCAGGTTCTAGCTCCTCCACTTACCATGTCCGTACCAACGGTCAATCACCTAGTGTTCCCCTTCTATAAAATGAGGCGAAGGACAGCAGCTGCTGCAGGAAGTCAGGATGGGTGTTGAATGAGTTCCTGAGTGGGCGCCCTTGGACTCGTGCCTGGGATGGAGGAAGCCTTCAGTCCGTGTTGGTTGTTGCTGCTGTTGTTATCGTTTTTGGTGAATTTATGTATTCAGTAATTATCGGTTACATTCATGAAAAAATATGGTATATTTTCCCTTTGAAATATATCCTTGTGATGAAATACTTAAACTTTCTTATTGAGGGCGACAGGCATGTAACTCAGGGTTTCTTAATCTTGGCACTATTGGCATTTGGGGCCAGGTAATTCTTGGTGGTTGGGAGCTGTGCTGGGGCTAGTAGGATGCTCAGCAGCCTCCCTGGCCTTTGACAACAGGTGACTGCAGCATCCCCCAGGATCGACAACCAAAGTTATCCCCAGACATTGGCAACCATCCCCTGGGGGATACAGTTGCCTCCTGATGAGAACCACTGATGTAGCTAGTGTAAGTGCGAAAAGGTGGAATTTCCCCCTCTTATATACTTTCTCCTTTCCATCTTGTCCCATATTCCTTCTTCAGATAAAAACCTGACACCTTTCTTGGGGAGCTTTTGCTCCACCCCTTGGGGCTTTGGTTGTAGTATCTAACTTCCAGAATATTTCCATGTTCTACTGTTACTACTAAGTTAGTTTACAGTTCCCCCAGGTAAGTGAATTTCGTTTTCCTCTTCTGGTAGATGTGTATGTATGCTTTAAGAGAAAAAAAACGTGATTGAATGTCTTTCCTAGGTTTGGTGGACAGCAATAAGGATACTTGTTAAATGAAAGGTATTTTAAAAATGTGCACAAGTATTTTTGTCTTATTTCTATTTAATATATCAAATTAGGAAAAGTTAAAGCCTTGAAAGATCCGAACGCCTGAGTATTTCTTTAGGACTGGCATTTATGTGCAGCTGCAAAAGGTACCTTGAGAGCTGGTCACAGGATGGTCGCCCTGTGGCCATTTCAAAGTGAAAGGCATCAGCGTTACTACACATTCAAGGTTGGGGTAAAAATGTGCAGCTCGTCCTCATTTTGTCAAGGGCAGTGTTCCTCTGTGACCGAATGAATTTCCGAGTTGCAATTTCATTATATTCAATAGGAACTATTTTCCTTTTAGAAATGGCGAGTCATTGAACTGGATGCCCCCCTGAACTGCTTACCTTTTCCAATAGTTCAGAACTTACAGACACACATCAGCTCTTATCTTACCGTGTCAGGCAGAATAAAGGAATGTTAGAATGATCAGAACCTTGGATTTTAATAACCATATAACCAGGTTCTGAAAAGCTGATTTATTGGCTCTTTGGTTTCTGGCTTCCCAAGGAGCAACGCCAGCTCTGCTGATGAGAATCGCAGGGCAGGCTGCGGCACCTTGTTAATTCAGGGGAATATTAATGCTCACAGTGACAGGCCTGTTGAAGTAAGCGGCGCTGGGAAGCCGTATGGAGGACGTGATTGTCTCTGAAGAGAGACAGACTCTGCGGAGGCAGGCAGGTTCCAGACTTGCTTATGAGCCCTGGGCTTACACCCGAGGGGGGGTGTCATTGCTGCCGCTCCTGGGAAGCAAAGCCAAGCAAACAAAAAACGTGGAGTCATCTGTGGTTCCAGGGAACAAAGCAGAAGGTGGGAGGCGTGCTTCATGAGGAAGAGGGGACAGAGGCACTCACATTACGGCATTGACCGTGTGGTCACGCTGTCCTAGGCTGGCCCTGACTGTGTACTTCTGGAAAGCCAAAGGGTATGATATCACAAAGGGTAGGATATCACTACGAGGTTTCTTTCTGCTTATAAGGGAAGCATGACTTTCCCATCAACAGAATTTGCCCAGTTGGAATAGTTTCAAGTTGTTAAGCAGAAAGAGGGCTAAACACTAGGCATTCCATATCATCCAGAGCCGTGTCTTAGCGTGGATGCCCATGAAAGCAAACCCCGGGGCAAGGACTTGGGGCCAAGTTGTTTTTCTGGAGGATGACCCTGGGAAGTGGTGTGAAGGAGAGAGAAGTGAGACCAGGACGACAGGAAAGCTAATATTGTGCTGAGGAGCTGGTGACCCTTGTGGGCAGCCCTGCCTAGAACCTAGTGCAAGACCTAGTGCAAGACATCTCAGAAATGCCTCTCGGGGTGGGCCAGGGAAGCCAGGGTATTTATCCTCCAACCGGGGTCCCTCAGGGCAGGGGAGCTCTTGGGCACATTAAATCTTCGGCAGTTACCCCCTGTGCAGAGGGCTGGAGGGTAGAGGATCTGATGCCCATCGGGAGCTCTTTCCTGTGACCCTGTATCCTGACTTGTCATAGTAATTAGACCTCAAGATACAGGTCAGAGGGGTCAAGGAGGAGGCCTGCAAGGACTGGTGCACAGTGGTCCTGTGTGGCTGGAAAGGCCTCTGGGCAGGAGGGAGACAGGGCTGGGCTTTGAAGCACAGATAACGTGGGGATGGGGGTGGGAGGAATAGGGGAGGAAGTGATGCCTCCTGGACTCTGCCCGTGTCCTGCTGGTCCCATGGACCTGGCCATGACCACCTGGGAAAAGCATTCTCAGAATGAGTGATGGAAGGTAGCTTGTCTTCCTTTAGGACCTGTTTGCAATGCTTTCTGCTGCGAGGAACAGAAATCCTGACTTGACAGTGGTTTAAAGAGAATGGGCATGCATTTTTCTCACCTCTGGAAGTTTTGAGGTAGGCAGTCACCACGCAGAGCTGGTCCGGGGCCCTGAGGACATCACAGACCCAGTTCCTGCCTCTTGTCCACTTAGCCCCAAGCTGCTTGTCTGGCCACTTCATGATTGCAGGATGGTCATCATAGCTTCAGGCTGCAGGTTCCTGCTTCAGGCAGAAAGCAGCAGCCCAACCACATTGGTCCTTCAGCAGGACAGCAACGGCCTTCTCTCTGGGGCTCAAATGGGCACTGGGATTGCAGTGGGCCAGGTGTGGGATGTTTTTGGCGTTCACAACTGGTGGGATGCTCCTGGCATCTAATGGGTGGAGACCAGGGATGCTGTTACCAGCCCTACAGTGCACAGGCCAGCCCCCACAGCAAATAACCATCTGGCCCAAATGTCGATAGTGCAGAGGTTGTGAAACCCCGGGAAAGACCAATTATGGCGCATTGCTTAGAACTGAGCAAGTTGCTCCCTTGAGTAAAACAGAGGATTTGTGTAGGCCTCTCACAGCACTCAACATGGGCAGCAAATGGGCCCTTTGGCAGGAGCCCTGCTCCTGTCTGCATGGCTGGCGTCCTGGGCAAAACAAATTGGGTAAGAGGTGAGGAGGCCAGTAGTCTCATGGGGAGAAGATGGATACAGTGGTGTTTCGGAAGTTTTCCGTATTCTCTGAAAGGTATACTGTATGTATAACGTGTTAATCATCAGTACTTGTCTCTCAGGATTTAATCATTACGTCCAGGGCATTAATATTATCCTTAACAGTAATTTCTTAAGGAAGTGATTCCCTGACTCATCACAGGAATCAGATTCTTGGGCTGTGTTACAGTTAGAATGGCCTTTGTCCTTTAGAATGTTTGTATTTTTCCAGGATCCTCTCGAAGAGGTACACGAGGCACAGGAAGAGGCGTGCTAAACCTTGGATAGCTGCTCCTTTAGTTTTCCGTTAGCATTTGAAAAATGTCTCTTTCAAGCAGTGTTCATTAAGATTTTAATTTTGCAGTTTGTTCCTTTTTAAGTGACATGCAATTAATTAAGGTTTAATGTGTCATCTATTTTTTGCAATGACACTTTTACTGCCCCCTTTTCATTTCAGTCCGTTTATAAATTGTACTGTAGCTAATGAGTTCCACCCTGATTTCCAGTTCCAAATAATTACCACTCTTCTAATATGGCTATTCTTTAATGTGTCACAGAATTAGGAGCATTACCAGGTGAAACCGGGGGAGCTGGATCTGCCTGGGCCCTGGGCCATGGGGCTGCCGGGCTCCCCTGCTCTGCTTGGTTCAGCACATATCGACCAGTCACCACAGTCAGACACCTGGGTCTGTGTGGGACGGAGTTCTCAGCCAGCCTGGTCCCGGGGAGCTCTCAGACTAGATAATCGCCCCACTTCTCCACATCACTTTGCCCGTGGAAACATGACTAATGGGACTTGAAATCCTGAGTGATTTTTAACTGTATATGGGGCTGAGATTGGACCAAGATGAATTGAACAGCAATTCCTTATTAATTCTGAAACTTATGAAGGATTAGGAGGGCCCGGTGGGTGGTGTGGATTTATTAAGGAAGTGACTAGTGTAAGTGAGACTGTGAGGATGTAAGAGTCAGGGTTTTCCAGGGAAACAGAACCAATGAGTGATATACTAGTTTATTAAGATGTCAAGAGATGTAAGGAACTGGCTTACGTCGTGGTTTGAGAGTTGGCAAGCTCGAGGTCTGCAGGGCAGGCCAGTGGGCTAGACACCGGTGTAGGAGCTGATGCTGCAGTCCTTCTTCTCCGGAAATTCAGCGTTTGTTTTTAAGACCATCAGCCAATTGGACAAGGCCCACCCACATCATCTCAGGCAGTCTCCGTGACTTCAAGCCAACCGATTGTGGATGTTAACCTCATCTACAAAATACCTTCACAGCACACCTGGTTTGTGTTTAATTAAATCCCCGAGTCCTAGAGCCTGACCATGCTGACACAGAAAACTGTCACCGAGGACGGGCCTGCTCGGTGGGGTGGGAAGTGCCTGGGCTGAGGGTCATGGACTTCTCTCTTACCAGCTTTGAGAGCTCAGGCAGGTCCCTCGGCCACTGTGACTACCATCCATCCCGGAACAAACCTTTATTAAATGTTTGCCTCCCATCAGCCAGTATGCTGTGTGGTGAGAAAATAAAAGTGAGGTGTGGCCTCCGTACTGGGGGAGCTCACAGTCTGGGAAAGACGACAGAGGCACCATCAACTCACCACTCAGTGTGAGAAGTGCACGGCCTTCCATTTCTGCAAGATCACAACCATACCATCCTCACAGAGATCCGCGGGGGAAAGGGAGGTACTAAATAGATGCAAGGGACCGGTACTGTTGGATTTTTTGAACATTCTAGCAGCAACAGTCACCTGTTCACAGGGCACCTGTGTTGTCTTCATCTCTCCATTGCCGGAAAGCCAAGAAATCTCATTTCTTCAAAAATCCCCATGTTTCGGTGCCCAGGTCGGGTGGTTTTATTTAGGAAAGAGAAGCCATTAAGCGGAGCCTGTAAAGGGTTGTGTTATAACGGAAAACTCAGCAGGGGACGGCGGAGGCAGGTTCGTCCACCTGGCTGGGGGAGAGTCTGCTATTAGGTGTTGGAAGTTTGACCTTGGTTTCATTCCACTTGCGACCTCCATCATAACTGTCTGTTTTTCAGGGGCGGATGTCCACGCCAGGGACCCCCACCGCGGGATGTCGCCCCAGGAGTGGGCCACCTACACGGGGCGGACGGAGGCGGTGCGCCTCATCGGGAGGCTGCTGGAGCGCCCCTGCCCGGAGCAGTTTGGGGAAAAGTACCAGCCAGAGCTGCCGCTGCCCCTCGAGGGGGCTCTGAAGCCAGGGAGCTCCAAAAACTGCTTGCAGAGGCTCACGGAGTTTGTGCGGTCCTCGCTGGCCTCCCGCTCGCGCCAGGGCCTGGAGGATGGGGGCGTCCTGGACCACATGGTCAGGATGACCACGAGTCTCTACAGTCCTGCTGTGGCCATCGCCTGCCGGACCGTGTGCCCCGAGCACCCCCCCTGCGTGGGGAAAAGGCGGCTGGCGGTACAGGAAATCCTGGGGGCTCCCGGGGCCCCCGACACCCGGGCGCAGGAGAGGGACCAGGTGGAGGACCCCGAGCAGCAATTCCGGACCTCCCAGGCGGGGGGTGCCTCCAGAGAGGGGCCCAGGAGAGCCAG